CCGGCTCCGCCTCCGCTGCGCGGCCCCCGCGGCGCGCTCCGCGCTCCGCCCCGGCGCGGGCCAGGTGCGGGGAGCCCGCACCCCGCTTCGCACGGGGGCGGGCGCTGCCGAAATAATCGTACAAAGCGAAGCGAGCAGGCGAAGAGGCGAAACGAGAGCGGAAAGCGAAGCGCGAGCCCACCCGCCGCAAATAAAATGCAAATAAAATAAGCGGGGGGAGGCGCCGAGGTGGAGGGAGCGCGCCGCTTTGGAGCGGCCGAGGGGAAGCTGAAGGAAAGGGGAGCTGAAGCGCGGAGTGGGTTCGTGCAAAGGGGACGGCGAGCAATTGTTCTTCGTGTGCCCCAAGGGCGAGATGGAAAGTAATCCATTTAGTTCTCGGCCCAAAAGAAAAAAAAAAAAAGAAAAAGAAAAAAAGCCTTAGCGTTAGGAGAGCACTTGCAAAGAGCGAGGGGGATTTAGTCTGCAAACAACGTGGGGAGCAGGTTGTGAATGTGTGATTTTTAAGCGGCAAGGGACAGGCTGTTTGCAAGGAGCACCTGGGAGCACTTGCTCGTGTGCCTGCAGGGCGGGAGCGAAGGTGCCTGTGGGGCAGGAATAATGCAGGGTGCCGAAATGATGCTCAGTGCATAAATGGCTCTCCATAACCCTGTTCTGTCAAGAAGCATTGCACACTGCAGCCCACGGCAGCGGGGTCGTCCACGCGCTGCCCTGTCGCGCCCCGAGCAGAGCGCCCAAGGCGGGCGGGCAAGGGGGCATGGGCGGTGAGGAAACCCCAAACGCCACTTTTTAACGTTCACGGGGAGGAAGAGGACTCGCAGAAGGCAACCAGCCAGAACATAGACTTCTTGAAGCATGTACAGATCAGAAAAGTTATTGAAGGCAAAATAAAATACTCATTTTTTTCTTCCCCACATTACTTTCTCAGTACTGTTTTTTTTTTTTTTTTTCACGAGGTTAATAGCACTGTCCCATACAGACCAATGTTAGATGAAAGTCTTGCCTTATATGCTTAAAATGGAGCTCTCGGTTTCTTTACTCTCTTTCATCTCCAACAGCTCRTCTCTTTTGATGGGTAAACCCTTCCTCTGCCTGCAAAGCAGAATACATTTTTGCTAGCACGCCAACAATTTCAAAATCAAACATCATTTTCAAGCCATATTTCTCACCAGGTATTAGCCTCATCAAATTAATTTTGGGCAAAGAAAAGAAAAAAACYCCTAAAATACTCAGAATTTTCATGCCGCCCAGATTTTCTAGATGTCTTTGTGTTTATTTTTCATTTTTTCCAGGGAAAAAAAAAAAAAAAAAAAAAGGAGTTGGCATTTTTTTTAAGAGGGCTTGAAGCGTTTACAGTTATGTTCTTAAAGATGCGAAGGAGTGCACAATATGCTGCAGGAGGTTTCCACTGCAACATTATCACGGAACATGTGATGTTGTTATGATGACAGGTTTCTCCCTGTGCTTCTTGATTAGTGTTATTTCGGTTGGTGGCCTGGCTTTGTGCTCTGCACATCTTTGATCTCACGAGGGCCAGCTCTGCACTTGCCCTACATCTTGGGCCTTCTTTTGCTCGGCCTTCCCTGGCTGAATGTTGTTAAACATCTCAAAATCAGAATGGCAACAGTGTTCTCCATGTGCTTTGCATGGCTATAAATAGCAGCAGTTAAGTGGGAGGCACGGGTGAATTGGGTATAACCTTGCCACTTCATTTATTTTTAATAATCATAACGACAAATGCAGTTGCCCTTTCTCCCTTGTCCAATATATTGCAATGAAAACTGCATGTAAGGCAGAGTCGCCTCGCTCATATTCTGTTTGCAGTATAAAAGGGGGGGAAAAAAGTGTTTCCTCATCACTGAAGGGCTTCTTTGGGTCATTTGTACCCTCCTCCAGAATATGTGAGCCTAGGGCCAAGGAAGTCTGTTTTGCATTTGCAGCGAGGCAAGGTAGCCCCTCACATATCCAGTTTCTGTGGTACCCTGGCAATATGTCAGGACAGATAATGGCCGTGTCTACTGATCGTTGCTTGTACCAACTTGCAGCAGTTTGACATCTTAGGGGAGAAAAAAATCCTGTCTTCAGAAACAATGGTTTTAAAGATAAAAATTATAAGTTTGGGGAAGTAGATGAAATTCTGTATTTGGAAAAGTCACTTCATTTTGAAATCCTTAAAGTGATTTAACCTTTATGGACTGGCTCCTGCAAGTAGCCAGTTCAAAAGATTGTATTTACTGTTAACACTGGGCTCACTCATATCCATGGGACTGTTCACTTAAGTAAACATTGTGTAAACCRACTGTATTGATAGGATTAAGCACATGCCATTGAACAACTGGTGAACTAATATAAAGGACTTGCATTATTTTTCTGTATAGAAGCAAGTGTGTCAGGAAATTATCTCAGCTCCTTTGAYGGCATCAAACAGTTTATTTGCTAGGTTATGAAAACCTTTCCATACTAAAACTTTACAGTATAAATACAGTATAAATAATCTGTGGGATCTATTCTCTGTATGGCAAGGTGTATCTAAAGAGCAGACGTGAAACACAGCCAGCTAATGCCAAGCGAGGCTCCCTGCTGATTAACTTTGTGACATGAATTCCTCTATAAGGCTGCACACTTTTTTTTTCCTAAATTGCAGACTAATGGATCTTTCTATTTCATGGAAAAGGGAAACTCCAGCAACCCACACCACTCTGGGATTAACTTGCCTCTGGTACCTGAAGGTTTGGAGAAATGATGACACTTCAAATTATGCACTCATTTACAAGCGTTGTTGTCATTGCCATCCCTTCACTGCCGTAAAAGTTTGCTAAACTTAAATTTAGCAAAASTAATTAAATTTCTACTCAATGGATTCATCTAAGAGAGCAGTTCTGAAGTATGGCTGTCAGGGATGTCATATGACCAACATGTAAAGATATAGACTCATCACCCTGCTGTATCTTAATTTTGATCAACTAAACCATGACTGTAAATTTTCTAAGCTTCTTGTTTGTTAATAAAGAAAAAGGCAGATATCTGCTGGTCTAGGCTGTTGGTACAGGACCATCTGAGACTGTTTTCTGGAGGACTCTAGGTTTCAGGACATCCAATTTCTTTTAGTTTTATTAACTTTGCAGTCTTCTGTGTCCTCGTGCTAGACTATAATCTTTTTTGGGGGAAAAATGGGGTATTTGATAGGCCTGTATCTTAAGTTTTCATCTGTATATGGGAGGATTTAAAAGTCTTCCATGCAGCTTAGCTGAAGAAATTTCCATTGCTTTTAACAGGAATAACTCTACAATTAATGCACATAAATCGGACACCTTTATCTTGTTCCCCTCTGGAATATGAACCTTCAGATTGAATCCATTCAGTCTTACTAAAGTGAGAAATAGCTCTTATTTCCTTCTAATCCAATTTTGTAAAATACTCACTAAATCCTATTATGCCTGTGATCTCACATCAATATTGCTGTCCCAGTTAATTAAAGAGTTTTCCAGCATCAAATGTCAAGAGCCTAGATATAATAGTCATCATTGAAGCTTGAAGTATACACTGTTTTTAAAGACATCTTGTGTTATCACATGCACAGCACACYATTGTAAAAACCGTCTTATCAGTAGAAGCTTAAGTGGAAAAAAAGGCTCTAATCTTCTTGATAGCATTTTTTTGTTAGTTTATACCCAGCAATCTTACTAAGAAAAGAGATTTGTCTTCATGAACTGCAAAGTGCTACTCAGCCCTTTATCACTTGCTGCTCTACTCACAGAGGCCCCTGCTGAAGGCTGGAGCTGCAGGACGCAGCCTGTAAAAACTGTGTAACTTCATGCACTGACTTTGCTTTGTGGTTTTTTTCAAGCATTTTCTTTTCTTTTTTTTTTTTTTTTTAAAGTGAAAGACCAGACAAATTTAGCACACCAAAATAACTGGCTAGACTTTCTCACGAGCTGCTCTTAGCTCGCTGCTTTTTGCACCATTCCCTGGTTGCCTAAGAGTGGTGGCTTTGGCTGTCCGACCAGAAGACCTCTGCCTTGCACGCTGCCTCTGCTCTGAACAGGGTATTCATTCCTTGCTAAAAACAYATCCAGACTCTGCATCTCGTGACAAGAACCACCTTGTCCCTTTGCCTTCCAGTTCATGAAGAGTCCTTCTGTGTTTTCTCCCAGCACTATGCCATTTTTTTGCAATCTAAATGAATGACTAGAGAAAGTTTCTGTCAGGCGTTTCTTCTGAGGTGATGAGAGCCACATGAGATCCAGTTGACTTCTTTGGCATTTTTGTAGACTGTAGTATTTTCTGTATTTAGTGATTTGGGGGCCAAATGAAAAGATAATTCCACTGTTGTATAACCTGAAATAAAAGGCAAAGAGGCCTCTAGACTGAGGAGAAGATTCATATTCATCAAAAGTATGATATTCATCAAGAGTATGATTTGGAGAGCAGAGGGTTTGTCCTCCTGGTATTTTTGGACTACTTTGCTAGTTTGCCTTGTTTGCTTTATCTCAAAGTAGCTTTTAAAACATATTTTAATTTTATCATTAAGTGTGATAAAATTACTTATGGTCCTTTTTAGCTTTGCTAGGCTTCTCCAAAGTTTTCTAGGTGCAATCTGCTTACATGCGTGTGTAGTTTAGAGCAGTGTGCTGGGTTCTCTTCCTACATCTCTAATCTTGTTTTTAACCTGGGTTGTGCTTCATGCAATTCCTCCCTCTGCCTCCTCTTCTCTCACATGTCTGGCCCCAAGCACTCGCCCTTTATCCGGGTGGGATCATATGACCCTCAGCTTGCTCCGAGTCCCATCCCAGGGCCTTGTCTATCCATGTCCTTGTATCAGAGCAAGTCATGGCTGTCACAACCCCACAACCTTGTGTGGAACAAGGATATCAGTGTCCAGCCTTAAACCCAACTGTTA